GAACTGAAGCCATGGCAGGGATAAGTTCAACCTGGGACAGTACACAGATGGAAGTTGGTCCAGGATGCAACCTGAGGAACACCACGAACACTCAGGAGACGGGCAGAGGAAGGTTAGACCAATAAAGGAGATGAAAGAGAGGCAGGAGAGATAGAAGGAAAAATGGTAAGAATGCGGTATCAGAGAAGTGAAGGAAGCAGAGGTCAACAGGGTGAAATACTGCGGAGACACCAATCAAGATAAGATCTGAGATCTCAAAAATAAATCGCTGTGACCTTTCAATGGGATAAAAAGAGTAAGACACAATTCCCACTGACATGTTTCACACAAAATTAGAACTTGGCCATCATTATTATTTTTTTAATATATATTTTAATTGATTTCAGAGAGGAAGGGAGAGGGAGAGAAACGTCAATGAAGAGAATCATTGATTGGCTGCCTCCTGCACTTTACTTACTGGGAATTGAACCCACAACTTGGCATAAGTCCTTGACCGGAATATAACCCAGGACCCCTGAGTCCACAGGCTCATGTTCTATCCACTCTGCCAAACCGGGTAGGGTAACCATCATTCTTTTTAAAAAGAAAAAAAGGAAAGGAAAAGAGGCAAGACAAGGAGAAAAAGAAAACAAGAAGAATCAAGATGGGAAGGGAAGAATCAAAATATCTTATTTGTACCTGATATAAATATTCACATAGTATCACATAGATTAAAAAAGAATCAGTATACTATTAAAATAATTAAAGTTTCAAAGGTTAACAGGCAAGATACTTTAAAAAATTAGTAATATTTTCTACACCACAACAACTAGGAAATATAATAAAAAGGTATCATTTAAAATAGCAGCAAAAACCTGGATATGTTAGTAGCATGGTAACTATAGTTAATAATATTGCTTGTATATTTCAAAGTTACTAAAAAGTAGATATTAAAAGATCTCATCACAAGAAAAACAAATTTGTAATTATGTGCAGGGATAGATGTTAATTAGATCTACTGTGATGGTCATTTATTGTGACATATAAATGTCAAATTATTATGTTGTACACCTAAAACTAATATCATGTGATATGTCAATTATCTATATAATAAAGAGGTAATATGCAAATTGACCCTCACACCCTCTTATTGGCTGCTTATGACCAGGCAGTCAGGGGGGTTAGTGAGGGATGACCAAACAACTGAACAGCAGGCTGCGTGGGGCAACCAGACCAGTGGGGGGGAAAGGGGCAGTTGGTGGTGACCAGGCCAACAGTGGGGGCAGTTGGGGGCGACCAGGCTGGCAGGGGCAGTAGTTGGGGGAGATTAGGCTGCGGGGGGGTGGGGAGGGGCGCAACTAGGCCAGCAAGGGGGAGGCAGTTAGGGGCGACCAGGCAGGTAGGTAGGTGAGCGATTAGGAGTCAGTGGTCCAGGATTGTGAGACAGATGTCCGACTGCTGGTTTAGGCCTGATTCCCAGGATCAGGCCTAAACCACAGTCAGACATCTCCCAAAGGGTCATGGATTGGAGAGGGTGTAGGCTGGGCTGAGGGTACCCCCCAACCCCCTGCCCTGTGCATGAATTTCGTGCACTGGGCCTCTAGTACCTCAATAAAAAAAGAAATACTTAAGTTCTCGCTAAATTAATCTATAAATAAAATAAATCTCATCATTGGTTTATATTATTATTTAAAAACTAAAATGTATTCCAAATGCATATGAAAAAATAATGGTTTACAAAAGGTAAATCAGCACTTTAAAAAGACAAAAAAAGAGGAACTTGTTTTGTGAGATAATAAATCGGCATGATACTGGCATAAAGAAAAAGAGACCAACGGTACAAAATACAGAGTTGTGAAACAGATCCAAGTATACATGAGAACCTATTGTATAATTAGATTGCCCCATACATAATGGAAAAGGGGGAAAAGTGGCTCCATGTGTAGAGAAAAAATAAAAATAGATCCCTGCCTAATACTGAGGTGAACCTCAGGTGAATTAGGGACCTAAATGTGGAAGGTAAAACTATGAAGCTAATAAAATTTATGTAGAAAAATAGATAGGTGGCTTATGGAAGGAAAAAAGTTCTCAAATAAACCCTAAAAGGACAAAACTTGTGTATTATCTATGCAAAACAAAAAACAATTTAAAAAAAAACTCTCATTGTTAAAGTATCAAGTTTGTGGTGGTGTTTTCATACTTAAATATTTAGAAGAAATGATTATTCTTTATGATTATCCATCCCATCTAATAAAAGAGTAATATGCAAATTAATCATTACTCTGCTACACCCATTGGGAGCGAGTATGCAAATTAACCCCAACCAAGATGGCTGTGGCCACTGACTGAGCAGGAGGGAGGCTTGGGTTTCCCTGGTGATGGAGGCCTGATCTCAGTGAGATTGGGCCTAAACAGGCAGTGGGATTGGGCCTAAATGGGCAGACCCAGGCCTCCACTCCAGGCTACAAAGTTTCAATTATAGAAAAATAAATTCCAGTAGAAATGGCTGCAGCCACAGAGCGAGCAGGAGGCTTGGCTCCGCTTCAGGCTACAAAGTTTCAATTGTAGAAGGTAAATAAACCCCAGATACCAGGGTCTTCGCTTGGGTCTCCAGGGGGCGTAGCAGGCCTGCAAACTACCACAGGCCCCTCACCCAGGCAGCCCCACGCCCCACCCTGATCCAGGACACCCTTCAGGGCAAACCAGCTGGTCCCCACCCATGCACCAGGCCTCTATCCTACCTAATAAAAGAGTAATATGCAGATTGACCATCACTCCAACACACAAGATAGATGCTCCCATGTGGTCAAGAATCCTGCCCCCATGTGGACACAAGATGGCCAGCAGGGGAGGACAGTAGGGAGGGACCAGGCCTGCAAGGGCAGGCAGTTGGGGGTGATCAAGCCTGCAGGGGAGGGCAGTTAAGGGTGACCAGGCCGGCAAAGGAGGGAAATTGGGGGTGACCGGGCTTGCAGGGAAGGGCAGTTGGAGGGGACCAGGCCTGCAGTGGAAGGCAATTAGGAGTGACCAGACCTGCAGGGGATGGCAGTTAGGGGTGACCAGGCTTGCAGGGGACAGTAGTTAGGGGCAAACAGGCTGGCAGAGGAGCAGTTAGGCATCAATCAGGCTGGCAGGGGAGTGGTTAGGGGCAATCAGGAAGGCAGACAGGCAAGCAGTTGGTAGCCAGCAGTCCTGGATTGTGAGAGGGATGTCCAACTGTTCTCAGTGGGATCGGGCCTAAACAGGCAGTCAGACATCCCTCGAGGGGTCCCAGATTGGAGAGGGTGCAGGCTGGGCTGAGTGACACCCCTCCTCCATGCACGAATTTCATGCACCAGGCTTCTAGTTTAAATATAAAAGGTTCATGAGTATGAGGCAAATATACAGTCCCCAACTGAAGATAGTTTGTTTATAATTTTTGATTTTACAATGGTGAGAAAGTGACACTCATTCAATAGAAACTATACTTGGAATTTGAATTTTGATCTTTTCCACAGCCAGTGATGTCAGGTTCAATCCTTTCTCCTGATGCTGGGCAGGTGCAGTGAGTCCCAGCTCCCAGTTAGCCAGGGGATCACAGGGTCTATTGTGTTCGTTGTGTAACATGATTGTGCCCAACTGTGTCTAATGTGCCTAACTGAGCACATTTAAGGTAAGCTCAGCTAAGCTATGATGTTCAGTAGGTTAGGTGTATTAAATGCATTTTCAACTTACTATATTTTCAATTTACGATGGGCATTTCAGGATGTAATCCCACCGTAAGTCAAGGAGCACCTGTAATGGGTGGCTTTAATATACATTTAAAAGAAAACATTAGAGTATTGAGTAAGTAATATATATTTTTTTTATACACCATAAATGCTAGCACTTCAGTTCTTCATACACTTTTATTACAGTCCACATTAACCTTCAAAATACCTAGGAGTAAAGCTAATTAATAAGATATATCTATATCTATATCTATATCTATATATATAGATATTATAATCTGCTCCTCTCACCAACCACTTGGAAGATTTTCAAACTAAACGAACTAATAACATTCCTCTTAAAATTAGTGCTATGTCATAAATCCTCAGTAAATGGTCCAAAAAGAATAGAATTAAATTTAAAATGCAGAATTTTGAAATTTATAATAAACAGTTATTATAAGCATAACTGAATGACATTAAAATAATATATAACTCTAATTTAATTGAAATCTTGGGTTCCGCCGGGACCGGTTTGGCTCAGTGGATAGAGCGTCGGCCTGCGGACTGGGGAGTCCCGGGTTCGATTCCGGGCAAGGGCATGTACCTTGGTTGCGGGCACATCCCCAGTGGGGGTGTGCAAGAGGCAGCTGATCGATGACTCTCTCATTGATGTTTCTAACTCTCTATCCCTCTCTATTCCTCTCTGTGAAAAATCAATAAATATATTAAAAAAAAAAAAAAAAAAAAGAAATCTTGGGTTCCCCTAAAATACTTAGGGCTACCATACAGCTGCTTTATTTCATTACTATGAGCTTCCATAAGAGGTAGATCAAGTACCTCAGAATTCAACTATATTAATAACAGTCTAAAGAAAAAAAATTACCAATTGTTTTGAAATGAGGGATCTACAAGACTTAAGTATAAGAGTTTGGGAAAGGCCCAAATTCAGTGCATAATAGACTGGATACTCAAATCTTTATAGTCTAGGTAATAAACATGTATTAGGTACATATATAACCCTCAAATAAAAGATTCTTAATTAAAGAATTCACTCAGACGTTCAACTCCATTTTTTCGTCATGCTACTTTGAATTTAACTTTCCTTGAGAGCCAGTAAAACCTGCTAAAAACAAAATTCATATCATTTATTTAACTTTTTTAATATACTAAAATAATTCTTCTTCAAGCCATTAAGTGCTTCTCTTCCTCCCCACCCCCATCCCATCCCATCTACTTTCTGTATATTTCAGAAAACTATAAAATCACCACTAAATGGTGTGGTATAGAAATCTACAGGTATTCTAAAGGTATCAGATTAATAAAATATACCTTGAACAACAACCTGGCTGCCTGGGACAAAGAACTGCTGTGTGCCATCAGCTGACTGTGCTGCATATTGTACAATTGCAGCACCTGGTGGAGGAGCTCCTGAATTTGTCATTGTTAATGCCTGTAGTCCCTGTACACCATCAGATCCTGGGTTAGAAATCTGGATTGTTCCACCTTGGGCTATAGCAACTTAACAGAAAAAGAAAAGAAATATTAGATAATTTCAAGCTTCATTTTTAATAATCTCATATTGGAAGAATATATTCTGGATCTACATGTTTATTACCAATATTCTCAATTTACCATATTTCTCTATGTTAAATTGATAAGGAGATCCTCTTCACAGGACAATATCCTTTTTTAAAAATATATATTTGTATTTATTTCAGAGAAGAAGGGAGAGAGAGAGAGAAACATCAATGATGAGAGTCACTGATCGGCTGCCTCCTGCACATCCCCTATTGGAGATTGAGCCCTCAACCCAGGTATGTGCCCTTGGCCAGAATCAAACCCGGGACTCTTCAGTCCACCGGCCAATGCTCTATCCATTGAGCCAAACCAGCTAGGGCCAAGGGCAATATTCTGAAAAGGCTCCTAAGTACTTGAAAATAACTTATATTCAGAACTAATTAAAATATATAGAGCTCATGGAGCCTTCCTCTTCTCTGGCATCCACCTAACTAAATTATTTAAGAAGAGAAGAGATACATCTAGGGAGAAAGTCCAGCTTCAAGGGAGAGATAGAAACATAGATGAGAGAAAATCATCCATCCGCTGCCCCCTGCACGCCCCCTATTGGGGATCAAGCCCACAACCTAGGCATGTGCCCTGACCAGGAATTAAACTGGGAATTGAACTGTGACCTCCTTGTTCATAGGTCAATCCTCAACCACTGAGTCACATTGGCTAGGCCCTTTCAGATATTTTTAGATATAAACAGCATTCTTTTAACATTTAAGAAATAGTCAGTGAAATTCCATTGAGCATTATAAATACAATGAATTTGTACCTTTATTCAACTAACTACTTTTCTAATTTATCATCAGAAAAAAATAGCTTTTCATAGAACATATATTTTGTTTTTTAAAGCTCAAGTCTACAAAACTGTAGCCTTGACTATTTTGACTATAACAGGAGAATCCTGAAATATAAAATATTGAGTTGGGCCAAAACCGGTTTGGCTCAATAGATAGAGCATCAGCCTTCGGACTGAAAGGGCCCGGGTTCAATTCCAGTCAAGGGCATGTACCTTGGTTGCGGGCACATCCCCAGTGGGAAGTGTGCAGGAAGGCAGCTGATCGATGTCTCTCTCTCATCGATGTTTCTAACTCTCTATCCCTCTCTCTTCCTCTCTGTAAAAAAAATCAATAAAATATATTTTTAAAAAAACCAACCAAACAAAAAAAAATATTGAGTTGGAAAGGACCTTAAAAGATACTATATTGAAACAATTTGTGTTACAACATTAACCTCTACACCCAGTGTCTTAAATAACTAACTCAGCTAATAGCAACAACTATGAGGATTTCCTCTAAATACTGAGACTTGCCAGTCATGTTTAAAAATTAACATATTAACTGAAAGTTTCAAAGGAATAAATGACCAAGTGAAATGTTTTTAAATGTCAAATAGACAAATCTAAGTACATTTGAGAGTTACGTATGACTATGTTTTAAACACTAGAGATTAAGTGGAATCAATAGCTATCATATATATATATATATATATATATATATATATATATATATATATATTTATATATATATATATATATTTTTTTTTTCTCTGAAATATATATATTTCAGAGAAAAATGAAAAGGGAAGTTAGAAACATCATTGATGAAAGAGAGTCATCAATCAGCTGCCTCCTGCATGCCCCAACTGGGAATGAAGTCTGGAATGCAGGCATGTGCCCCAACTGGGTATTAAACCATGATCTCCTGGTTTATAGGTCGATGATCAACTACTGAGCAACACAGGCCAGGCCTATCTTTTTTTTTATCACATAAACTAGCTAACTAGTTTTTAGAATGAAGAAAAAATAGCACATCATCAGAATAAGGCAATACCAATAAACCAATGTACTAGTAAATACCTTACAGGAATGTTACAGTAGCATCTAAACAATACTCTGAACATTTCCAAGTCATTCCCCAATATTTTAACAGTATCTAAGCAAAGGGCCACTAAGTGATGAAGTGATCCTATAAACCTGTCAGAACTATTGGAAAGAGTGACAATAATAAATCTTTAATCCTTTGACATAAGGTTCTAGGACCTTACACAAAAAGATGGGTGACCATTTTTTAAAGAGTTCAACATAGATACACTCTTCGTGTTTTAGTTCACTGACAGACCACTATTAGAATAGGACTGACAGAAACTGAAGAATCAGTTATGAAATATCAAGATAGCAGAGGTTAAGAAACTCTGATATAACATCACTTTATCTGGTTCATCCACAGCATTATATTCTGTACACATTTTAAAAACAAGATTTCATCACGACTTTCCAAAGATTTCAAGGGTCTCAAGATTCACCTCTTTCAATGAAAGGGTTTGGGAGAGATTTAACCATATCTATCTTCTTAAAAGAGAAGTACAGTATGAAAAAGAACAGATGCTTCCTAAACCTTCATGTGGGGGAATAAATTTTGTTATCATACATTTGAATGTATGATTTCAGCTGATAATTAGTTTGATGTCATAGAAATAGTGCTTTGAGAAAGAAAGTAGTAATGTAACTACACTGTATAAGAAACACAGGCCTAGTGTTAACCTAAATTTTAAAAGCCGAAATAAGACAAAACAAGCATTTATTTGGGGTCAAAGAATTGTAATTTGAGGTGCAGTTTCAGGCAGAAACTCAAATAGTGTCCCAAATACAGGGTGAAAGCAAGAAGTTTTTATGAGAAAAAGGAAAGGAATAATTATATGAAAAGAAAAAAAAAATCATATTAGTACTAATAAGCTGAGTTACTATTGCTGATTCTATCTTCAGATAGAAAGTCTACAGTCATTACTCCTTGTGATCAGTCTGTTCTGCTGACTTTATAACTGTAAAACAATAGAGGTTTGGCCCAGTCAGTCCAAAATTTCAAGAAACACATGGAGCAAGACAGTTCCTCTTGAATGGCTGCTTTGGCTCCATTTTAAAATGGCCTCATTCCTGCCATTTTTCACACTAACATATAACAGGCACCCAATATGATAAATGGATTCCTCATTTCCTCAAGACAGACTGTGTTATAAACAACTTAAGCCACTTAAGGATCTAGGAGAGTTAAATTAAGTATGGTTTCAAATTCTGATAATAGAACTTAATTTTTAATGTCAATGATTAGTTTTTGAACTGGTAAAAAATCTGAGGTGACAGTAGTTACTTCCAAAGATAAGAACTACAAAATAGAGACCGGTTTGGCTCAGTGGTAGAGCGTCGGTCTGCGGACTGAAAGGTCCCAAGTTCGATTCCGGTCAAGGGCATGTACCTTGGTCGTGGGCACATCCCCGGTAGGGGGTGTGCAAGAGGCAGCTGGTCGATGTTTCTCTCACATCGACGTTTTTAGCTCTCTATCTCTCTCCCTTCCTCTCTGTAAAAAATCAAAATATATTTTTTTTAAAAAAAGAACTACAAAATAGGTAGATAACAAAAACCCTTGCTTTCTTTATTTTTTTCAAAGTTTTATTTATTTTTTCAACCCTCTCCTCCCCTCCCCCTTTTCTGTCAATATTTCCCCATAGTTCCAATGAAAATTTGTTGCTTTCACACTGTGAAAGCTGGTATATCAAGAATTTGTTACTCTCATCACTTTGTTTTTGGGTTAAGTCATTATAGAATTAGATGTGAAAAGCAAAAGTTGAATAGACACACAAGGTGGCTCTAAGGGGACCACATTTCTCCTGGTAAGTCTGGTACTTCTGCCTTTTATTCTTCTATAACAAAGGTACTCTGAACTATGGCATTATCAAATGAGAGAGGGCCTTCCCACTTCAAATGTCACCTCTCATTTGACAATAAACAGGATTCCCCAGGGCTTCAGGACGCTGGAAATAGGCTTGCTTGTACATATGTGTGTTCAAAAGATTTCAGAGAATGTTTCAGATTACAAAACATTCAAGATAGTTTAATGTGATTTCAGCAAACAGTCATTGAGATAAATAATGGGAAAATCTAAGATGAAATCAGCTGAATGAGTTCAGTGCAATCTTTTGTTTAGCTCCTTTAAAAAAACCTTAAAGGAATTTTCTAGCAAGAATTTTGTGCCACCTATTTCCCCTGCCCACTCATCTCAAACTTTTTTTTTTTTAAATTTAGTTTGGAGTATTTCCAGGCAAATTTCAGATATCACATTTGATTAATCATTTTTAAATAAAATGTTTGGCCCATAACAAATCCATTAGTAACCAATAAAAATAAAATGCCTTTGTATTTCCCACTAATTTTACTTTGGGGACCTAAGCTTTATTAATGCTTTCTTAGACTGACACATGCAACTGAAGCATAATGCTCATTCCTATGCCCACACTGATATGAGCAATGAAGAGTCCACATTGATCTATGAATATTACTTGGAACTCAAGCAGAAGTAAAATTGTTCTTTTATTTTGAACTATATGCATACTTACTTTCCTCTTTTAAGTAATCCTTAATAACATTACAGTTTCATAAAATATCTAAATTGAATTAAAAATGAATAACTAGATTATATATTCAACTAAATTCTACTCCAATGTCCAATATTAACTTGTTCAAGCCTGTTAGTATGTTATCTGCTCATAGTAGTGGTGGGTAGAGGTTAAGCTCTATTGCTCTAGTTGTTCTGGGAGATACCTACCTTCCCCCATCCCAAATCTCAGGTTAGCTATACCACATAATTAAGTGGGGCACTCTATATGCACCAGTTGAATGTTGGACACACTGATCTTTCATTAAGAAAGAGATTGTTTAGGTAAAGTGTAATTCATTAATTTACTAAGTTATTTTTCTACTACATTAGTTCTAGTGGTTACACAATGTTTTTATATATATACCCTTATATGGCATGGTATTAGTCTCAAATCAGTATTAACCCAAGTATGATTTCCCCATCTCCAATCCATCATTTAGCACAGTAACCAAGATGCTATCATATCAACTAATCCAAGCAATTAACTATTTTAAAATTCCTATTATACAAAACCATGTTTTA